AGCTGAAGCTTCCCATGGCATCTCACAAGGCCAAACATTTCATGAGTGTGACATTGATGTTGAAGAATCCTTAGCAATTATGTCAAATAACCTCGAAAGCCTGCGTCAAAAAATTGAAAATAGAGAAAATCCCTCTCAATCAGGTAAGTCTGTTAACCCTAACAAATTTAAAAAGTTTTCTAATAATAATTATTCTGGTGATGCAAAGTCTAGGAGATTGCAATGTCGAGAGTGTGGGGGTTTTGGACATATTCAGGCCGAGTGTGCGAACACTTTGAAGAAGAACAAGATGTCACTCACCACTATTTGGAGTGATAAAGAGGACAGTGATGAGGATGAGAACAACAAAGAAGATCAAACCACTAACTTTATGGCATTCAGTGGTACTACTTCAATGAGCAGAACCGAGGGAACTGTTGCAACAGTCTGTCCGACAGATTTCAGGTATGATGAATTATCTTTAAATAAGGACAATAGTCTGACTTCACCATTTAATTTTGCAGGTGAATCTGAGAGCAGTAGTGATGATGAAGAGCCAACCCTCGAAGAGGTGAAAGATGTATATGAAAAAATGTACCGGAAGTGGCTTGAAGTATCTGAGGTAAATAAGCGCCTTGAAAATGATAAGCATGTTCTCATAGAGGAAAATAAAGTGTTGAAGGTAAGAATTTCTACTCTTGAACAAAATGTTATTTCTTGTAGTAGAGAAATAGATAGCTTGAAGGCTAAATTTGCTCAAACCCAAGATGTTATTTCTAAGTTTAATACTGGTAGAGTAACTTTGAATGAAATTCTGAACAAAAATCAGCCGAACTATGGTCGTATAGGTATAGGGGGTAATCAGCTATCTAATGATTCATTGAAACAGAAAGAGAATCCAAAAAGAAAAATCAATTTTGTTAAACAATCCACTGTTTCACAAACTGTTGCGACAGTTGCACCAACACAGCCATTTCAAAGAAAAGTTTTTGTTCCTACCTGTCATTTTTGTCATGTTCCTGGTCATATACGACCCAGGTGTTTTAAGTACTTGAAAATGGTTAAAAGAATAATGGCCCGCTCACCACTTTCCGCTAAAATTGATCACACTTTTGTGTCGTCGCAAAAACCCAAGATAAAGGTTGATTTAGTGAATAAAACTCAACAAAAAATCTGGGTAAAGAAATCTGATCTTAATTGTTTATCTGCCATTACGTCTTTAAAATCGTGTGATGTTAGTACTAACTGTTCCAACAGTTCTGTTGACAAAATTGGATTGGGGCATAAGAAACTTGATCTTCTGAATTTTGATAATTTGAGTGCGAAAAATAATTCGATGAATCCTATTCAGCATTCGAGAACTAAGCTTACTGATATTTGTCATCGTTTCATAAGGGGCTTGGTCGAAAAGGGGGTTGTCTCAATTGATTATGCTGCAACGGAGAATGAATTAACTGATGCTTTTGCAAAAACCCTTGATGCACAGAGATTTGATTCCTTGCGAAAATCGCTGGGAATTTATGTTGCTTAATCTGATGCAGTTGCATGAACTGTTGCAACAGTCTGTGTGTCCAGACTTGCAACTTTTAGTGGTAGGACACTTCATATGTTTTTGCATCTCATATAGGATCTGCATTAAGCATACTGCATATGATTGAGACAAATGTGAATTTGATACTTTGTGTTCTTCTAAACTTTGTGGGGGTAGAACTTCACCAATTCCCAAAATGATTACTTAAAAGGCTCCAACTTATTTATTTCTCTGAATAGTCTTGTCATGGTTGGATGTTTTTATAGGGAAAAGCTGCCTCTTTTAATGAGTGAAAGCTACTCTTGAACTACTGCTACTAATATATATATATATATATATCTACAACCATTTGGTCAGTGAATAGTTCGAAGCCTTTTTGAGTCGAGTCAGTAAATCACGTGGCCGAAAGCTCGCTACACGACTCAATTAGAAAGCCCAGGGGAATACACATTGCACGGCCAATATAAATTATACATATGGTCAGTGAATAGTTCGAAGCCTAGTTGAGTCGAGCCAGTAAACCACTTGACCGAACACTCACTACAAGGCTCAATTAGAAAGCCCAGGGGACTACACATTGCACGACCACCATAAGGATAAATTCTTATGTTGCAATCTCCTTGGATGTTTTATTTATTCTTGCAATATTGATTGTGAATCGAAGTTTGAACTAGAATTTTGAATTATATATTTTCTATTGATTTATTAACTGTTATGAAATGATGAGCGTCGAGTGATAATGTCATTGTGACAGTATGACACAATATGCATAATTTGTATTAGTTTGAATTTTGGAATTTCAACTTTTTGCCAATTGATTTTAATTATTTTGAACTGGTAAATGATGATGGCATAGTGACACTAATGTGCATATCTTTATTCCACAATTTTTTTTTTATGTCAACTAAGTGGCAAATATATTCTCAACCGATTCATTAGGAAACCGACTTATTATGTGTGATTGCTATTTGATTATGCACATAATAACATTTTATCCTCATCCATTAACCGCTTAATGACCCTATTCCATCCGTTCAAATATCCTCTATATACACATAATGGAAATGATAATATTGCTTATTTGCCTCGACGATGTGGGGGTATATTATTTTCAGTTTCGTAGTTTGTAAATTAATGTATCAATATTTTCTTACTTTGCATATGTATTTTATATTTCAGTGTTTATATATATTAAGTTCGGGTATTGCAATTTTTTTTATTCGAAATTTTGAATTTGCTGAAAAAACCTATCAGGATTTCAAGTAGCTTTACCTGAAACTCCTTCTGGAGTGTCACGTACCTTTCCACGCAGTTAAGTTTATTGTTTTTCCACAAAAGTTGGGTAGTTGTACAAATATTTATGTAATATAAGTCATAAGATTTAAAAATGAAATGTTACCTAAGATATGTTGCAGTACGAGAACATATGATCAAAATTATATGTTGTTTGTTTGAAAACATTTTGAGAATTATGCTTGAAAGCCATAAATCAAATTTCACCTATAAACAAAATATCAATTATTTAAATAATCCTTCAATTTTTCTTGTAAAAATTCTTTCAGTTTTTAGTACTGAGATAGATTTATTGTTCCTAGTTCCTACTTATATTTTGTTTTTTAAATAAGTATAAAAGTGTATTTTGGTTCAAACTTCAAATACAGAAGACGTATTAAGTGAATTGGTCATCTTATTTTTAGAATTTGTTTTATAAAAATAACAGAATATAAAGATTTAACGAACATATTTAGAGTGGTGCTATTTCTACCTCCAAATTATCTCAATTCACCACCAAAGATTATAAAATGGCATAAATATCCCTTAAATTTATGATCCACCACCCTTACTTTCTATTTTATTCACTTAATCGTCATGTGTTCTAAGTTATTTCTATTTTATTTCTATTTTGTTTATTTTTTAATTTTTTCTATTATTATTTTCTTACTTTATACAATTAAATATTTATTACAAGATATTTAAATTAAACTTCCATATCAGATGAACAACAAATTATGCAAATCTTTTTTTAGGAAACAAAATTATATTAAGCCAAACTGACCAATTATGGAGGAAGTTCAAGACCTTAATCTTAATTTATTTCTAAAAAAAAATGAATTCCTACTCTTTTTGACCTTTGAAAATATTTTTCTCTGACGAAAGTATTATTCACTTAATGTGGAGATGGTGAGATTTCCAGTGAAAACGGAGTGACTTTTTTTTTATCTATAAATATTTTAATTTGTTTAGTGGTAAATGGTTTATTAATTTGTAAAAAATATAGGTGAAAGAAGAAGAAATGGGTAAAATTAGAAATATATTTAATTTGGTGGTGAAATAAGATATTTTGAGGGTGAAAATAGCACGTCTTATATATTTATAGTCTCAAAATCATATAGCCGACCCTGTCTACACTAACCTTTAAATGTGATTTAAAGTTATAACTTTTTCAACTCTTGGAAAAAGGTTTGGTGAAGAAAAATACAATTTTCTTCAGATTAAGAAAGATATTTCAAAATCATATTTATGATGATATTGACTACGGTGGTGTTTACTTACTCTCATTAGAAAAGTTGGTACTTAGCCTTTACTATTAGAGTAGATGTCTAGACTTCGTATGCTACACCAACCCTATTTCCCCAGTTTGTAATGGACTTAAATATTGCTACAAAAAACAAAAAAATAAAATACGGTAGTGTTTGCAAAAACTTTTAAAAAAGTTGAAGTTGGTAATTACGAGTTAAGTTGATAATAAAAATGCATATGTTTAAAAGTTACAGGTGTTTGCAAACTCCATAAAAAAAATCAATTTTAAGCAATTTATTTTAGGAGAAGTTGTTCAATGAGTGTTTTTTATATTTTAGTTTAAATCGGTCTATCTTAACAGAAGTAGAAGCAAAAAATAGTATTACAAATACTTTAAAAGTGATCCTGTACCAAAAAAAAAAAAAAATAAATAAAAATCACGTTTAGAAGTTTTTGCAAACACCATACATCTATGTTGAAACTTAATATTTTATGATTTTTCCTTGGTATATAATACATGAAGTTTTCTAGTATTTTGGAAGTGATCCTTCTTTCTTTCAGATTGGTAACTAATAGAGTTGAGTTCAGCTTTAGGCGAATACTAATTGAGTTCGACTTGAGCCGAGATTTTCATAGCTTATCAAACGAGAATATATATAGTTGAAGATTGGTTCAATTTGGTAATAAGTCGAGTTCAAACGAGCTTTAATGGACAATCTCGAAACTGGTTGTAATAGATTGGTACAATTTATAATAGCTCTAGTAACCTAATTGTTTACTTGTATAATTCAGATCCAATATATTAATTGTTACATTTAAGCAACTACTACCTAGCTACCAAGTAGGCATACCAATATTCATAGAAACTCAAATGTATTAAATATTCTTCTACGACATTTCTCAAATTTCATCTATATATAAATATGTCACATGTATACCTTGGTTACTCCAATCAAATAAAGTTGATACAATGGATTTCTTTAGGATTTTGGTAATACTATCCACAATAATATGCCTATGGACATTTCTTCATTTCTTTGGGTATTACAAAAGATCATCATCGAAGCTTCCACCGGGTCCTTTCCCTCTTCCGATCATAGGCAACCTTCTCCTAATCGGACGAAACCCCCACCGCTCTCTCGTGAAGCTATCAAAGATTTACGGCCCTTTAATGTATCTCAAACTCGGAACCGTACAAACAATTGTGGCATCTTCACCAGAAATGGCAAAAGAAATTCTACAGAGACACGATCATATTTGTTCCAATCGGATGGTACCTGACACGACCCATGTAGCAAACCACCATACGAGCGCTTTATCCTGGCTGCCGGTGGGAAACAAATGGCGTAAACTTCGTAAAATCTGCAAAGAGCACATGTTTACGGTTCATAAGCTCCAATCGAGCGAAGGCCTCCGTCAAAAAAAGCTGCACCAGTTGCGTGATTACTTGCACGAATGTTGCAGTAATAGACGAGTTGTTGATATTGGGGAGGTTGCATTTGTGACCTCCCTTAATTTGATTTCGACAACTCTCTTTTCTATTGATTTTGCTCACTTCGACTCTGATTCTGCTCAAGAGATGAAGGGTACTATAAACGGGCTGATGAAGATATTCGGCACCCTTAACCTTGCTGATTACTTCCTGATTCTTAAGTGGGTCGACCCACAAGGCCTTAAACGCGAATCAAAAGCTTATTTTGGGAAGATGCTAGCGATATTCGATCAAATAATTAGAGAAAGGTTGCGGTCAAGGGGCGTGTCCTCCTCCGATTCTCCTAGGAAGAATGATTTACTTCAAGTACTTCTCGATCTCAATCAAGAATGCGATTCTGACTTGAGCCGCGATGAGATAAGACATTTGCTTGTGGTAAGTATTGTTTCACCCATCCATTTACAATATAACTTTAATATACACTGCACGAAACAAGAAGAATAAAAAACCCATTAGTGGGGCCATTTTTGTTTTTAGAATATTTCGGTTTTTTTTTTGAGAAATGGGGTCATTTTGTAATTATTTACAAAAATACAATAAAGCGTCGTTTAAAATGACGCGTTTTAAGGGCCGTTGGATTGAGCTGAGATTGACGGCCAGATCTCCTATCTTGTCCTCCTAATCTGACGACCAGAGATTAATCTGGGCAATCGGACGGCCGTTAAAAGGCGTCATTCAAAACGACGCCCTTTGACCCGCCACACTGGATTACAGCGTCATTTAATATGACGCCTTTTACCAGCCGTTGGATTGTGTTTATATCAACGGCTGGATTTGATCTAAGGTTTTTTAAATTTACTTAATTCTTTTTATTGTTAAATTGGAATGGTTAATTGAATTTTAATTTTAAATTAATTATATATTGTATTTTAAAAATTTTCCTTCATTTATTTATGCAATTTATTTTATAATTCACTATAAAATAATACGAATTTGAGACATTTTTTTTCATTCCAATTTCCGATTTACGATTTCCGATTTTTCCGATTATTTTTGGAACGGAATTGGAATTACATATAAAATTATTGGAAATTCCGATTTCCGATCCGATTGTATTTCGGAAATAATCATGTTTGAATTATGTTGGAAATATATATATATGTTATATATATATATATATATATATATATATATATATATATATATATATATATATATATATATATATATTTATATATATATATATATATATTGTATTTTTGAATTATTTTTCTATTGACGTTTTGCAAGAATTATAGTTGCTTTGATATATCAATTATGTTGTTTTTACAAGTGTTTAAATTTTATTTGATTGAACTTTGCTTTGGATTCTTGCCTTTTGCCGGAAAATTACGAAAATATTAAAAAAAAATACTAAAAATTACCATTATTTCCGATTTTGGAACAAAACATTAAGAATTAATGCAATTTCCGAAAATTTCGAAATTTCGCCGATTCCGAGGTATTCCGAAATTGGAATGGATTTTGAAATTCCGATTTTTTTGGAACGGAAATTGGAACCTATTTTTAACTTCCGAAAAAATTGGAAAATTTCCAAAAAAGGCATTTTCGATCCATTCCGTCCGATTTCCATATTTTATTAAATAAAAATAAAATGCCTAATTATTGGGAAATATTTTTTGTCTTTAAATCCTTTAGTTTATTTAATTTGTTTTTTATTGAATAACTAAAATACGAAAAAGTTTTAATAAATAACCAACATAAACTACAATAATAATATCACCAATGACGGTGACCTCCGGTGCCACATCTCGGGGGCCTTCTAGTCCTGTGCCCTCTACCAACTTGTTCATCCTCATCACTCGAAGAATTTGCGGATTCAAAATAAGGAATAGGTGTGATCTGATGATCTACCGGTCGCGAAGACGAAAACTGATGCGTAGACCCCAAATGAATTGGGTCTTCCGAATTCATATTCGGATTAAAGTAGGGGTATGGGGTGTACGGATCTGCATCAACGAGATTATAATTAAACTCACAGTTGTAGATAGTATTAAAAATAAAATCAAAGGTACTAAACATACCAGATGGATGCCCGTGTGCTCTAGGATCTGTATAATTATCGAATGCCGGATAATATGCACGAGAAGAAGTTCCTGCCTCGCCAGCGTACATCTGAGTCTGTGACTGAGGCATTTGAGACAGTGGTATCTGAGTCTGAGTCTGAGAGTGAGTCTGAGTATAAGGCATCTCAGATTGAGGCCTATCTGAAGGTCCGTGTCGAGACTCTAAGACATTAAGACATGTTCTGAGAGTCGGTAAATACGAACGATAGCCATCCCGGGGCATCTCTCCGCCATCAACAGAAACAATCAACGATCGAAGATGCTGAATCTGAAATAAGTAATAAGAAATATTTTATTTTTAGAAGACATACATTAATAAAAATTATATAATACACAAAATTTTATAATAAATAAATTTGAATACGTACCACTGTATCCATTGAAATCTGACCTCCAACCTGAAATCCTGTACGATCAGATGGGGTAATCGGTGATATGAAACGACGTGTGTGCAGTTCATACCACTCAAAATAACCATCTTCTCTAGTCTGACTGTCACTGGCATATGGATAATCAACAATATAATCGAGTCTATTATCCCAAGCGGTAACATGCGAAACATGTGTAAGCCTCCAGTCTCGGTTGGTAGCACCTGTACGGTTAGCATTGACGTGCATCCGGAAATCCGTCTCACTATTTTCAGGAGGTTCAGGTATGGGTTGTACCATCCCGAACTGACGTACTACTCTGTCTGGTCGATGCATCTCCACAATTGCGTAGCATATCAGGGGGACTCTCGATACCCATATACCATTACATGTGATCGTCGAATCACCACCTACAGACTGATACTCCGGATCATCCAGATCATATGGCGTCCATATAAACTGATCTGGGAGCATCTGATCCAACATCATCCTAAATATACGAAGAACATGTGCACCAGTCTCAATGAAGCTGACATGGTTGGTCCACCTGTGATATATTATTATATATTAAACTTAAGATAATAATAAAGATAAGCTTCAAAATCATATTGTTGTTGAGAATTTGAACTGCCGAAAGAAATTCAAAATGACAAAAATAAAAGGTTTTATTTAGAAAATTTAAAAAAAAAAATCTAAGTAATTAAATGTTTTGAAGAAAAAAAGAAAAATATCAAAATTTTTCAAGTAAAATTGACTGAAAATGTTAGAAAAATATAGTGGAAGTTGGCTCAAACAAACCCTTATATTTATAGACACAAAAAATTAATACACAAATCACCGTAACAATAATGCAAAAATAATCTAACATAAATCTCAAAACCATTACCGTGCACCGTAAGGTGGTACGGGAAACTCATATCCTGCATACTCAAGTGTTGTGCCCCATTTCGCCAGAGTAGGTATGGGCCTTGATGGAGGAATCCGCATCCATGCCCATATCTGTTAAATAATACAAGAATATAAATTTTTTATAATATAAACTGCAAATTAAATGTATTAATGTACTAAATTATATAAGTAATTCATTATGTTACCTGTGATAATTGAACAGGACCACTGATTTCTTTTGCAGATATCTTCGATGCTTTGCACAACTCGTGGTAGAGGACTTCTAGAGTACAACTACCCCAACTATATGTACTGACAGCATCAAGATCTTCTAAATGTCTCAAATACAGCAACGGAATAGAGTCGTCAGTGTGATCGGGACACATAATCCCCCCTACTATGAGAAAAGCAATCCCTCGAGTGTAATGAACAAGATGCTCATATGTACTATTATCAAGAACGGGATTATTGATTAAATATTCACTAAGGGCTTTGACGCTCAACTTCGATCCTTTTATCTTTGATGAATCCGGTGCAAATCCCAGCCATGTCATACAATACTGCTGCCACTCACGAGTCCTACGATGAGTATCAACTCCTATGACCGGACGTCCGTCAACCGGTAGTCCGTATATCAACGCCACGTCCTGTAGGGTGACTGTCACCTCCCCTACACGCAGGTGAAATGTGTGAGTCTCCTGGCGCCATCTCTCTACTAATGCAGTGATAAGAGCCCAATCTGCTTGCATACGTCGACATCGATATACACCATATAACTTCATCTGGACCAAATAACATAACACCCGAGGATGAGGATGAGGGTTGTGCGGCCTATGAAAGACACTCCATATCCCATGATCACTTCGTCTAACTCGTATGCTCGTATCCATATTAGACTCTGTCAAAGCACTTGATCTATGATCATTCTGAAGATACAGAAGTGAGGGATCTCGGGGACCGTATACAGCGTTCTCCATTTCAATCCTGTTTCAAGTTCATGTGAAGCACATAAGATTATTATTATTATTATTATTATTATTATTATTATTATTATTATTATTATTATTATTATTATTATTATTTCAAGTCAAACATTACATAACAAACATTACATAACATAACATAATTTGAACTTCTTCAATGGAAATTCGGCCCATCGTTGTCCCGATTGCTCCCAATTATTACCTTTCGCTACTCGATTAATAAAGTGCTTAACCACTCGATGAAATGTAAAATCCACAATAGCTGTGACAGGCAGTTTACGAGCACCTTTCAAAACACCATTGATGGACTCGGACAAGTTGGTCGTCAACTGACCGCGTCGAGACCCTCCATCATGTGCCAAAGTCCACTTTTCTCGATCCATGTTCATCAAGTATCTGTGTGCATTGGGATTTTCCTCCCCAATCTTGTCCAAATACCGGTTCAGCTTCCAAACCTGAGATTGTTTTCCAGCAGCGTAACAAAAATCTTTCACCACAATGCTCTTAAACTTGGCGTTGACATTTGAACAAACATGTCTCAAACAAAATCGATGGGTGATGCGAGGGGGCCTAAACTCGGGCATCGAATCGATGGCACTTAAAATACCGGTTCCTCGATCCGAAATTATACAAATACCATCTGATATGCCCGAAAGTAAATGTTTGTCAATGCATTTGAAAAACCACTTCCATGCACTTGCGGTCTCTTCATCAACAATTGCATACGCAAGTGGTAAAACTTGTTGATTCACATCCAAACACACAGCAAGCAACATCTTATGTTTGTACTTAGTGTACAAATGAGTTCCATCGACGCTGATCACCCGACGACAGTATTTGAAACCATCAATACACGGCTTGAAGGCCCAGAAGACGTATTTGATTATGAATTTCGATGGATGATTTGTCGCGTGATGTTCCCACTCAACAGCTGTGCCTGGATTCCTTTGTTGCAGTGCTTTCATAAATTTTGGCAACTTCTGGACCGAACTCTCCCATGTTCCATATACATTTTCTCTGCATCGCTTCAAAGTGTACCATGCCTTCATGTAGGATATCTCATATCCTATTTGCGCGGTCACAATCTCTCTTGCCTTTGAAATCTCACAAACTGGATTTTCACGAACACTTTTCAATAGAATTGCGGCGCAATAATTGATGTTCAAGTTGCCATGATTGTTTGTCATCCCTTGCATACCGCAACTATGATCGCCATCGTAGATCCCAATCCTAAATTGTCCTCTATCCCCAATTCTTGATGCTCTTAGCCTCCATCTGCAAGGTCTTGCTTCAGTGTCGTGTTTGCAGATAACCTTC